CGCTACAGATGTTCCGGGTTTGGGGATCCACCCTTTCCCCATCTTTTGCCTTGTAAATATGAGCAAAAGAATTGGGATAAAAAATAAAGGTTGAATAACGAGGCACGTTGCATTTTTCACAAAATAACTGTTTTTGTAAAAAAATGAAGCATGTTTTGTCGAAAAAATACGTTCCATCATGTCTCATATCGCTTTTTGAGATGAAAACTTAAAAATATTATAGAGAAGAGGTTGGTTGATGCTAAAGAAAATTTTTCGAATTCTAGATTCATCACCATTGTGCTACATCACAAATATTCTCAGGGATTAAGACCTTAAACGTAGGCGGATTTAGGAACGTCCAGGGTTATAATATTGTCCAATAAAATGGTTCATATTGCTCTATGTTGCTAGTCAAATTCTGGAGTCTCTCTTCAATTGAAACAAGGCTCGATCTTCTATTTTGAAACGCTGATCACCTCAGAGAAAGATCTTCATGACCATGAATCCGGAGACCACGATCACTACTGTTTATCAGAGATAGCATTTCACAGTTAAAGTTGTTGCTGAACATATGACACCTTTGGTGAAAATAAAAAGGACCTGGGATGATTCCTGATTGCGTGCTGACTATACGAGTATACTGTTCTTCATAATATGCTTCTATAGATCTTAGATCCTTTCTACCGATCGAGATTTATTATTCATAGCTTGGAATATTTACTTTGAACCAAGCTATAGATGTAGATGAAATATCAGCAAAGCAATTTTCTCCATCTCGGGTTTTAAAAAATTAATTTCAAGAGTTACATTATCCAGTTACAAATTTCATCTTAGAACATTGCTGATTCCGTAAATAGTCTAGTTAGTACTGGAATCAATCACGCTATGGCATCTGACTTCAATATACGTTAACTAATCTTCACGCTAACTTGATCATATAATTTGCTTCATTTCAAAATACACGGGTACGCACAAGCGAGAACAAAACTAAATGCAATTATAGGGTCAAATAAACTTAAATATCTAATGCTCCAGTTGTAATATCAACACACGGCTTCAACTGAGGCACTTTCTATCTTCCTTACTTTTTTCTTACTTTCCTTCTTACTGACTTTGTTGGGTATTTTGAATATTTGGGGAACCAGACCTTCTAGTACCTACAAACAGTTGAACCAAGAACAGGTCCTATGGGCCACTCTGATAGACAGTGCCAAATGAGAGAGACTTAGAGAGTACATACATTTAACATAACGATCTCTCTATTCTCTAAACTAAGAGATTCACCAATTAGATACAAAGTGAGGCCCCGCGTGACGCGTTATATCCTTAATTAACGTCATATCTCGTCCTGCACACCAACTGATCAAATGTCGGCAAGCGACAGGATGTTACTTATCCTTTTTCAGCAATTAAAATCTCTGGGATGGTTGCGAACCTCGCGCTACGCAGATAAAATGCTAAAAATGTGCGTGGAGTAACAGTGTTCTGCTGACGAAACATTAAAGTCAGAAATAATATGCTGTGATGACATCACGAAGAACTTTAATCGGCCAATTAAGATGCTTGCGAATACCTGGTATTATTCCAGGGTCTTGGATAAATGCAAAGGAATCGCATCTTGTACAAGATGGTGTAAAAGAAATGCTTACATAGCCCTGAAGATGAAATGACGAGATCAATAATGTTCTTCATTTAAATACATCAAACTCCCAGATACATCTTATTCATCAACTATTTTTTTTTTGCAGCAAATTAAATAAAATGTTCTCTTTATACGAGTCAAACAGAAACACTTTTGGGTGAACATACCAAGGTCCGATTTTTCATACAAAGAAAGGTTAGGCGTTACAGTAGTACACAAAATTCATTGGTCACTATTCATAGATATGTCAGAAATTATTATACTCTATCCTCAGTAGTTGTTGTATTGACACAAGTTTTTGCTGAATTTTAATGAAACCTACTGCTTGGTTCCTGTGACAACCACTATGACAAACAATTTCATTTAACCCTGTATACTTATAAATTATTTCCGTTTTTATAAGAGACTGAGACACGGTAATGATATAAAATTTTTGGAAAAATTAAAACGTTGCCTAAAAATTATATGATCTATAAGTCCATAGGTTCCGTCAAACTGATATAATATTACATTCTAAAAAAAAAGGCGATAAGGGAAATGTCCGGAAAAGTGGACTTATTATTCCGGAAAAATTAAAAAAAATGGTACTTCAAAACTAGTAATACTCTATTCACTTTTTGGAAGTCTAGGTTCAGACGTTCATAAATCCATCTGTTGGATGCGGCTGTGTACCACCGATCAGTTAATAAACAGAGTGTACTAAAAGGAGTGTAGTCTTCGTGCAGTACGATTTCATTCCTGCAAAGCGTGTCTTGTATGGTTATGTGTACCATGAATTGCGATAAATTTTACCTCCGACTATCGCGCTAGTCCTATTCGATACAGTCATAGGTAAAAAAGAACGCGATGTTGCTTCCATGCGATGGACAATTGAAACAAGCTTGCTTTATAAAACCAATTTTAGATTCGGTTAATTCGTTAGCGACCCAAGCTCGGTTAAGCGCTGTTTCAATTATCTCAAAAATTAGGAGGCTACGCAGTGTTTCTGCCCCGCAATATATACAAGCTATTTCTGAATAAGTGTTCAATTTTTAACAGGACGATTTTTGGACGTTTCTAAGATGAATAGTTGATTATAAACATATTTTCGAAATCTAAACAAGTGGTTTAAGATGCTGACTTAAATGTTTGTACATCATATCCAATACATAAGAAAATGGTCGTGCCCTTGACTACACTAGTTGCATCGAAAATATCAAATTGTGATTTGGACGAAAGAAAAAGTAGGTACAATTCTTTTCTACTATACTACCGTTTTTAAAACATCTACTGGATTCTTGAATGAGAAACTTAACTTTAAATAAATACCTACACATCTTCTTTTGGAGAAGAATTGTTTTGAATACTTGTGGTAAATAATAAGTTTCAACTCGCTTCAAATCGTTGAAGTTATATTTTACATTGAAAATTGTATCCAACAAATTAGGAGAGTGATAATATTTCACCATCACCTTATTTGAACGATATTTATACAGGGTGTAAACGTTATGATAGTCATTATTTAAATGGGTGATAGGGTTAGAATAAGCAAAAAGTTTCATATAACATGGGGTTAAAACGGCATTTTCTTTTAAAGAAAAGCGACTTTACAGTAAAATAAAATCTGACAACGCCGCAATGAAACACGTAAATTACCACGGAACGAAGTGTAAATAAAGATGGAGTTTGTTATTTTTGGCTCTTAGGTATTATTTCATTATTTGATAATGTACTCGTAAGATGCAAACAATTAAAAAAACGGACTTAGCACAAACTGTCTCTGCGCTTCACCTGGTGTGTGAAAGTTTATTGAACGTATTAAAAAAATCCACTTATAAATAAGGAAGACAATTTTGATACATACATTGTTTTTCTGCAGTTTCTTCTTACTCTAGGTCCTCGAAGTTGTCATTTATTATTTCAGACGCATTAAAATTTTTTTCGCGAAGTTGTGCTGCAGTTGTTATCGGACCAGCCCCATAAACCATCCCTTTAAGTTCTCCCCAACACCAGAAATCCATCGGATTGAGGTCAGGAGATCTTGCTGGCCATTTTCGAGGATCAGGAGCATTTTGAGCGATCCAGCGATTTGGATAATGTTCATTCAAATACTGAATAGTGCCTCTAAAAATGTGTGGTGGTGCCTCGTCATGAAGATACCACAAATTCTGTCTCCATTGTTATGGCATGCTGTCTAATGTCTGTTTCCAAAAGTTCTGGTAGGTTATTGGCTAAAAAGCTAAGGTATCTTTCTCCTGACAACCTTGGGGGTAACTCGAAAGGGCCAATTGCCTGATCGTCAAGAATATCCGCCCAAATATTTATTTTAAAGCGTTATTGGAAATGATGTTCACGAATGGAATGAGGATTTTCTTGGGCCCACGTGTAAGTATTATGGAAATTTAATACCCGTCTCGCGTAAAAGTACGCTAGACTGTTTTTAAAAAAATCTACATTTTCAATGTTTTTGTGGAAAAACCACTGACAGAATGTTAGCCTGCGAGGATAGTCTTCTGAAAACAAAGCCTGCACTCGTTGTACATAGTAGGGATAAACCAACTTTTCCCGTAGGATTCTACGGACTATGGTATGCGATAGTCCTACGCGGCGGCCTAATTCCCGAGTGATATCTGCACTGATTTCCACGATATTTAAAATTTGTTCCCCCTGCTCTACAGTAACCTGCCTTCCACGAGTTCGAATATTAGTGGGCTGAACACTTCCTGTATCTCGAAGTGGTAGACTTGTACAAATGTCTTTCTGACTGGGTTTAGCCGTTCGCGAAATCTGTCGCGACAAATTTGAGCTGCAAGATTTGAATTCTGACGAGCTTCACCGTAAACTAACAACATGTCGGCGAACTCTTGATTCTAGAACATTGTAAATAAACACGACGACGTACGCGAACAAAAACAAAACAACACTGTTTCCGTTTGCGATGGGTTGCCGGTTCGATAAGGGTGGTGAAAGGTCGACGCGCTGTTGTCAAGTGTGTTTTAAATTTTTAATTTAATGAAACTTACTGACTACAAATTTTGGCTTAACTTAGAAAAGCTTAATGCCATTTATTTGTTAATTACCAAATTTAAAAATGTTTTAGATCAGATTATAAAAATTAGTAAGATTGTGCTGATTGAGGTCGATATAAAGCACTTAAAGTTGTAAACTATAAAGCCATTTAGACAAAAAGAACTATTGACTTTTGGACCATGGGTCATATGAACTTTTCACTTGTTTTGACCTCCCTATCACCCATTTCAATAATGACTGCCATAACGTTTACACCCTGTATTTTTCCCTTATTAAGTTTTATCATGGGCGAATCAATTTACCCTGCATCTTGCAAACGGGAATATTCGTTTGAACCTTTTGTCTTAAAAAATCCTAAGGAATCATTATGTCAAATATTGAACACTTATCAAGAGGTAGCACATATACTCAGCATCCTTTTTCAGCGTCTTGGACTAAATACACGAGTAATTTTAAAATGTTATTTATGAATATCCCTCGTATCTCAGAATGGCCGATATGCAGACAATGCCTTAATTGCAATCCGGAAATTGCGTTGCAATATCCAATTACCAGGGAGGATAATTGATTTAATTTGTTGCGATTAGTTCCTCCAGCAAGCTCCGAATCATGGAGCGTTCTCATTCGCGTATAAAAAGTAACGTTAATCGGGTTTTTACAAGAGGCGGCCAGCGTGAATGTGTAAAGTGCGTAATGGGTAGCTGGAATATGCAAGCGAAAATAATGGATTAATGTAAATAGTATGGTAATGTTTGTATTTAATGATGAAAGATTTGATACAAATATGATCCAAACGGATACAAAGAAGTTAGCGACAGAAACTTCTCAGGGGCAGAACTACAACTAGAGTCATTATCGGCTACATTAAAGATTTCAATTGATTCAACAGAAAGAAAAAAATATCTCTAAGTACTTATATAAAATCTAAAGCTAGAAATACTTTGGGCCTTGGGCGGACTCTTTATTTACTTCGACCTTTTGTTAAAGTTGTAACTTCTTCAGGAACCGATTATCTATATTACGTTAAAAAAAAAACGAACGTGCGAATAGTGTACGTAGTTGGTAAGTCTAAAATGAGACAACCTCTCCAATATACTGGTTATATAGAGATGTTAATCACCTTTTATTACTTAATGTAAAAAGTTGTAAGAAGATTGAAAAGTGTATAATTAAACCTTCCACAAATCAATAAATTCCTTTGTTTCAGGAGCCGTCCAAGTCCAACATTGAACAGATTGGACCTTTGTGTACTTTACCCCTTATGGTTATAGTAGCTAATCCAGCAATCTTGAAACAGAACATTCATTAGTTCCAGTCTCAATGACCCTAAGAGCTATCACGTTTTGGATCTAGCGCTTCTCACTTATCAAGGCAAGAAAGGCCAACTGTAAACCTCTTCTACATTATCGACATTTGAGATTTTTGTATTTTGCTGAGTTCTTTCATATCTTGGTACCCTGAAAGACATGTTAGTACAATATCAAGTTGATCTTGTTTGCCTCTTCCACTCATCCTGATATTTGGAGCTCACGAGACAGATTTTGAGCGTTTAAGCCTCTGTTTCTTGGCACTTACGACAACTTAGTTTTGCTCCACAAGTACATCCCGTCCCTGTTGACATTCGCAAATCGGTGTAGGTGTTAAGAATTGTGCATTCAATGTTTTGATACAATGTTTCTTATTAAACATCCTGCTTCAAGGTATTTACTTAAAAATATCTTCCATGGGACGTTTTGAGTACAATACAGTCTTCCTCCAAATGAGTTCAGTTCAACATGGGTGTTCTACCCAATTACATGGATCACGATAATTACAGACCTACTGACTACCCATTTTGGAATATCAGAAATCGCCGTGCGATTTATAATGGAGATCTAGGAACCAGGTAGACATTTTTACTTCGAGACAAATCCCACAATCATTTCCTGTTACCCTGTTTCTGAACAATTCTTAGAAAACCACTGATACCTATGCTGTTACACGTCATAAAAACAAAGCTTGGAATGTGGACAGTTAGTGTAGTTTCTTCATGGAACTTGTTATACGAGGATAATTGCTTGAATTTCTAGAAAAGCCAACCCGGAAATATATGACAAACGAAATAAAAAATAAACCTGTTATTTTATTCCAAACGGCAAACTTAGCAAAGCGCAACAACCTTATATTTCACAGCTATCTAGGTACCATCTAACTAGCTGGTTCACCTCAATTTAATGGTTGTGCAACATAACACTAGGTGCTGAGAAAATTTTTGATGACTTCTCGCAGCTCAGCACTCTGATGGTGTCAACATAATAATTAACAAGTTAGAATTAACCTGTACGATGGTGTTACATCTTTGTAGACTAGGTGCTAGGTGCGAAGAATATTTAAGACGAATGTTACACGATCAGTGTTTACTCTTCTCCCTGCTACCAATATTTATTCGATCGTGTGACAATCAACAAAAAAGATCGCGTTAATAACGGATGAATTTACGCAACGTGATATTATTAGATTTAGTAAAAATATAAGGCTCATATACCTAAACTGGGTATCTTCTAAGTCCTTGATTTCAAAATAAGCAAGCAATTTCATCAAAGTCATTGCAAATATATGATCGGGAGATTATCGTAGATATGAACTTTCAGGAAAAATTGGGGGTTGACCGGAAATAGGTGACATGCATATTGGCAGTGCAAGCATCATTAGAAAACATGTGAAAATCAGACGAAATCCGAAATGTATACGATTTATTTTCATTTATACACATGAAGACAAGAGGGCATAATCAGGGGTCCAATACTGTATTTTCAGTATTATCAAGTTTTATCTATTCCAGACTTAAATATCACTTATTTTACTTCCTATGCCACTGCCGAGGAATTATTGTAATTGCTATGTTATATGTACATACATCACAGCCGTCGGTCTATGTCCGAAAATCCATGCCTACGCTGTAATTTTGAAAGTACTGGTCGGATTATTATGAACTATTGACTAAAGGTTATGACTATACTAAAGACAATAGAGTTTTGGAAAATCGCAACTGCAACGCAGCTAGTGACAAATACCGAATGAATAACAATGAATCTTCATTTTTTGATAATTCATAGATTCCTGATAATCATTTTTGGAAAACAGTCTCTAAATTTTTGGCGTTAGTATATTTATACGCTTACAAACCTATGAGACATACTTCACTTATTACAGATAGCTTCTGTGTTTCGTAGTGGCTGTCGTGATCCCGTGCCTGGGAGTTGCGAGGCTAGTCATAGCAACGTTGTCAGATCTATACTGTCGGTAGGGCAGGGGTGAATGTTCTAGATCGCAGCATTGTCAAATAGGTGGGGACTAATTGTATTTTTAACTGACTTGAACCATTTTAGTTTTTTATACATATTCATAGCTAACTTTTGTCTCATAATCGTTTATGAACTGATGCAAGCGATGCGTAGAAACTGCAGAGTCAACCTGCTTGACACCATTTTTCGAGCTTACGGTGAATCTGTACAGTGTTTACGGTGACCTAACGTGGAACATATAACTGACGATGAAGGAAGATGACACTCCCAAACCTATTTTTAACCGCCATTATGCAACCCTTGGCGTGTTTTTGAAAAGGGCAACCACCACCCTTTCGCCACGAAAATAGGCCTCACGCATTCGGCATGCTCGCTTCTAATTGGCTAAATGTTTAAATGAGATTTGCATGTATAATAGAGAAATGGGGACAACTTTTAATTTAATCAAAGAACTTGACACTCTGGGGTGTTTTTGGACGGCTGAGTGGATAAGAGGGTGAACACTGCGAAAGGGTGACGCAGTAACAGAGTGAAAATGTGATCGTTGCATTATTTCCTAGAAACAGCGGCGCAGATGAGGAATGCTATATTTCTCGAACGTTTTTGGGAAACCGCTGTATTAAAAGAAACTGGTAGATAAGGAATATAGAGAGTGTTTAAGAGAACAATTTCTATACTATAGAGCGTTTCAGAAGATTTTTGTTATCCCTTTGAAGCCTACTAATCTTCTGGAATGATCACCAATTCATAGTCGATTTACATGGCACTTGGTGGTACGCTCTACATTACCGTGATAATTACTAATTGTTTGTGATTTAGGCCTTTTATCAGCAGATAAAATCTTACGCAACAAAATGACCGGTGGAAGCAAGCAAAACAAAGGTGGTTTTGCCGAGTTCCATCAAATATTTTAGCTGCACACTAGTTTGAAGCTTAGTACGTTACAGCGCTTAGCTGGGGCATCATAGAGAGGAGGAGCAGCTTAGTGTTACCAGAAAATGCGTTAATCTATGGTGTTACCGGACTGAATCCTGTCTAATTTGGGAATTTGGGGGATACGTAGTGAAGTTCTAAATTCTAAATATAAAGTAAATGCTCTCCAAATACAAAAAATACTTGCGGCCAGCTTTATAAATACAAAAAATAAAGCTGGCCGCAAGAGTTCGTGAAAGTTATTAAATTTATTTTCGATTTTTAACAGAAATATCATCTAGATCTCGATTTCTTTTCAAAACAGTGGTATTTGAAAAAGTGATATTAAATTTGTCAAAAAAATCACGCATTGAGTTTGTGTCCACGTTTAGAAAACATGATATTTAATGAAATAAAGAGCTAAAATTCAAGGTGTCTTCCTATTCTACGAGGGATGTCTTTTAAGTTTTTCATATAGAAACATAGTAGGCAGCGCGGATCGAACGTCAGTACTGTAAACTTAAATTCAAAGTTTCACAACAATACGTGCAGTGTTCTCACTACAGTGAATTTTTAAGTGTCACCAAGTCACTTGAAAAATAGAACTCAACCGAGAACATTTTCGCGCCATAATTTATTACAGAAAACAGAAAATTAGTTTCTCGTTGGATACCCCACCTGTTGACTGAAGAGCAGAAAGCAGCCAGGGTTGATTGGTGTCAAAAAACGCTTGACCGTTTTAATTCCGAAAACACAAAAAATGTGTACAGCATTGTTAGTGGTGATGAATCGTGGATCTACTGTTATGAAACAGAAAATAAACGACAGTCGGCTGTTTGGGTGTTCCAAGGTGAAGAAAAGCCAACAAAAGTCATCCATTCTCGAAGTGTTTCGAAAAAGATGAGCAAGGAACTGTTACTGCGGAGTGGTATACCACCATTTGTTTGCCAAAAGTCACCACCGAGCTTCGAAAGAAGAATCATCCTCCACCAAGACAATGCAAGCTCGCACACAGCCCAAAAAACAAGGCAAATGCAAGAAGAAAACGTGGAATTATTGGACCATCCTCCATATAGTCCCGATCTAAGTCCTAACGAGTTCTTTACTTTCCCGAAAATAAAAAACAGATTGCTTGGTCAAAGGTTCCAGTCACCAGAAGAAGCAGTTGACGCATTCAAAAATGCCGTTTTAGATCTGCCAGCAAACGAGTGGAATAAGTGCTTCGAAAATTGGTTCGAGCGCATGCAGATGTGTATTAATCTTCGTGTAGAATACTTCGAAAAACAATAAAGTCATGTAAAACTACCTACCGTGTTGTTTTGTTTCCATATGCAAAACTTAAAAGACATCCCTCGTATGCCAATCTGTCTATAATATAAAATAAATTCTCTCAACATGCAAAAAAAGGAAGCTAGCCGCAAGGGTTGGAGAAAATTATTAAATTTATTTTCGATTCTTTTTCGTCGAAATGAAGAATCGCTCATCGAATGTTAACTCCATGTTTCAAAGATACAAGATGAAGCTAATGCTTCTTTAACAGAAATATCATCTAAACATCGATTGTGGTATTTGAAAAAGTGATGTTAAATTTGTACCAAAAAATCACCCATTGAGTTTGTATCCATGTTTTGAAAATATGATTTAGAAAAATATAGAGCTTAAATTCAAGGAGCTTTTCTATTTACCTTCATGAGTGAAAATTTTGTTAGCCTATACACATCTGTATACTTATTCGTTTATGGAAATAGAGGTCCAATGTGTTTCAGTTTAAAAAATCACCGGAACAAACATGAAATGAATAATGAGTATCCCAATCCTAGAAAGCGATCCACCTAGACATACATTCAAAACCGACGGTGAAAAAGTAGAACCCTAGTTGTTACGTGATGTACATAAACTGTTCTGAAACTAATTAAGAAAGTCGTTAAGAACTCGTAAATCAACAGTATGGTGCTTGTTGCATTATGCCTCCAAGCGGTAAAAGTCCGGTATTGAAGCAATGTTCTGCAGTCAGAATATGAGAGCTCACAAAAAAAACAAAGTGGCCATGTTAAATGAATTTTAATACCGACTAAAAATCGGGGACTCAATTCTCGAATCTTAAGAAACTGTTCACAGGGAATATTCCAATGATGCTCTATACTTTCCTCTAGGAGTGACATATTCGGAGTAGTTTGGCGTTGCAATCGAAAATGGCGTTGTAAATATTTACCTATGGGAGATATCGGAACTGATACTGAGTGACTATTTGTCCAGTACCGTAACTCCTTGTTTAAAAGCCTTCGTGAAATTTGGACACGCACTCTAGCTCTCTCGACATTGTTCAGTGGTAGTGCATAATGAAACCTTAACAAGCGCTTTTTCAATTTTCAAATTCAAAACTTTATGAATGTCAAGTAATGCACAACTCTTCTCCCATACAAAATTTTCGGATGGAACGTTTCTCGTATAGAAGTTTTGGAAAATATTCCCATCGGCGGTTACTAAATTACAATTTCTAAGGAAAGAACTGAGGTTCCCCTTGTGAAAAGTCCCCTAGGATTAGAAACTTGGGGCTCAAATGTGTTGGTCCGAGACTGATATTGTTTTTTAAACTTTAGGTTACAGTGACATATGCAACTTTTCCTACGCCACTCTATTAATGTTTAGTATCTAAAAAATGGAGTTGTTTCTATTCTTTTTGACGAAAATAAAGGTTAAACTTTCAAAATGACAAATGACAAAGTGGTATGATGGTTGAACTTTTTGAGAATAACGTAATAATAGTTTAATTACTGAATCAAAGCAGTACTACGTCAAATAATGACAGTGACGCACATGGTTGCCACATTAATTAAAACTACTAGATCCTAGAATGTTTTACAAAAGTCTATGTAAACGCTCGAGCTAGTATGAATTCTATTTACTACCTAATACCTCTCTTACGGACTGTAAAGGCAATAATGGAGCTCCATGATTTTGTTTGGCCTCAAAATACTTCGTCAAAGAAATGACGAATTCTTTTACTCGTCGGCCTAGAGGTTTCGGCATTTTAGCAAAACGCTTAAAAGGACACCTCAAAGTTAGGAAAAAAACTGTTTTTATAAAATAACAATGCAAATATTGCGGTAAAAAGGACGAAAATAAACAACAACCGTTGGCGTAATTACCTGACAAACTTTGCGGCAATGTCACAGTACAGAAAACTGTTACCAACATAAACGTACCCGGAAAATTCAAACTATACGTAGCAATTTAGGGTGTATTTTGCATTAACGTTGGGATTAAAATTTACTAAATATGAGGTGCCTGCTTTGTCTCAGCGAACAATCTGTAGTAACATGAACAAATTAGTCCGAGATTAACAGGAATTGTTAAATTGCAAATAGCTTAAATACCCATTACCTTTCAATATTATGTTTCATTGTCCGCCAAATAAAAAGGCAGACGAAGAATTGAACACAATTTCCGCCATCTCGGCGACTTTGGCAAAGTACAAAAAAGTCGACAAGGTGGCAGAAACGTTAAAAAATCTGTGGCTTTATTGGTCGACCGGTAAGATATGGGGATTCATCAGCGATACAATCATCAGATCAGTTTTAGATGTTGCAGAGGAATATTTTGATACGTTCCTAAATGCTCTTATAATATCTACCCTAGTATTGATTTTTCTAGGTAGGTAGGGCAATTACAGTTTCAGGACACGACAGAGAGTTGAGACTTTGAATATAAATTGGACCATTTGGAGTCAGTTTGGGATCTAGCATCTGTGAAAAGGGGTCGAATGTTAATATTAACACTATCTGAATATGGAAGCAGTGATGTGGATAGAGTCGCAGATTTCTCTGGTGATTTTATTTTTTTGAAGATCCACCAAGATATACCAAATCTATACATCTAGAAGTTGAGTCATTAATTTTCAGATAATGATTGTAGAAGGAAGATAAACCAAAATATGTGTGTAAAAATAAAAAAAAAATAAAAAAAAAATGTTACCTTGTTTTATAAAGTATCCTCCCGACAAGTATTTCAGTGCGGACCTGTATTTGATCGTGCGGTCTTGGAGCACCGGCAGGCCCTCCCCCCTGTAAGGTCTTAAGTCACCTGATTCACGAGCCCTTTGTACTACATTAGATAACAAAGGCACGAGGGGTTGGTCGCACTCGACTGGGAAACCGATCCGCATAAATCCGTGATGCCGCGGCAGCATTTTGTAAAGACTCCCCCCCGTAAATAAGAATCATGTCCACAAGTTCAGCATTTTCGTAAACATGTACCATTTTTTATGTCGTTTGAGCAAAGCAAGCTTAAACACCACTATTCACTCACGCGTTGCCGATTGACACATTGACTGAATGCAACTGAATAAAATTGTAGTAAAAACATCGTGATAAGCGTTTCAAATTCTTTCACTTTTTTGTTTCCGATGCGATGAACCGATAAGGCGGATTATATCCGTTGTTGCCAAACACGAGCACATAATATTATTATTATTATTGAGACAGGGCGGTACTCAAACTTCTAAAGGGCTATAACTTTGTTACTTTAATTTTACCAGAGAAATGTTAAAGGAAAAAAACATTTCTTTTGATCAGATCTACTCACTGTTAAAATAAATGACTCAACTTCGAAGTCACCCTGTATATGAAGTGCGGATATATTACTTATAGTTGTAGTCACCGTTCTTGGCGGATCTAGGTAAGATTACCAGTATCCCTTTATATATCTCCATCTCCATCTCATACATACACATGCAATCTATCCCTGTATGTGTGAACGTTTGTTCTGTAAGCTCAAAGACACGTTTTTTATTTGTCAGTCTCCGTCTCTAAAACTTTGTCGTTATGTATGAGTGCCCTTCAATCATATTGTGACAACTTACTTCACATCAGCGTGCAATTTTAGTTGTCCTGTTATCAATCTTCAATATAAAATTGTACAATGCTCGGAAATACGATCAATGCAGAAGGCCGACTGCTCGAGCTAAATTTATTGGAGTATTTCCAGGAAGAGAATGAAAACGGCGGTCCCCTGTTACCTACTTCATGCGGACTGGAGAGAGTAGCAGATGCGATGAAGGTTAAGATCCGCCCATGGTACGGAGACTCGATCTATTTACTTGTTTAATATGGATGGCGTAGATGACGTAACCGCCAAGAACGGTGACTACAACTATTACAAACTTCATTATATATCGCCTAACACGGCAAAACGTGATATTTTACGTTAAGGGATGCCAGCCATTTTTGTCAAATGCATCGAAGGTTGGACAAGTGCTTGTTGCAGATTTTACTGCATCAATATTCTACAGAAACCGTTAGTAACCATGAAAAGTTTTGCAAATGACAAATATGTCTATTGTAAAATGTGGAATCGCAATGTTAAAATCATGTATAGTCGATAAGACAATAATCAGAAAGCAGTGCATTGCGCCAAGTTGTCCGCCTTTTTTTTCATGAAGCATATTAACAGTCTTGTATTCATAATTCATACGAATACTCGTACGCATATAAAACATGTGTCTAAATCAATCATGAATTTTAAGATTAATGGACTCGTTGTCAGTATTAATTAGACACTGTAAATATTTATTCTAATACTGCTAATTAATTATTATCAGTTATATAACAAACCTAAAATAGTAACATTTATATTTTGCAATAGTTCAATAATGTTATGTTCAAAGCCCCGATAACATTCGATTATGAAGTGGAACATTACTGCATGGGCTATAAAATATTTGAATAAAGCTTGAGAAGCATTAGTATGAATTGAAATCGTTATAGTTAGAATATGAGGAAAAACTAAAAAGCTGTATTGTTGTGCTTAGTATTTTTATTTTAATAAATCAATTCTAAAAGCAGCTGATGATAAGAAACGGGCAACTTTGAAAGGAGGCAATTAGACAAAAGATGACTTTCGTGATGACACAACAGAAATGACATCATCACAGCGGTATGATATTATTAGCGGGAAAATTTAAATTGTTAACTTGAAACAGCATTTCCTTCAAATACGTTACACGAAATTCAAAACAAAACAAAAATAGCACATCTTCCCTATTCAAATAAAGTGTGCATGTAACTATTGCCGTGTTAGTTCTTTGGAACACACCCGTAGCATAAGGTAAGATCTTGATATTTTTTGTCTCTATTTTAGGTTTATACTGTACATTCGGCAGTCCACTTTAAAATATTCTCTATTCAGTACCTCTGGTCTCCCCTATCGGCCGGAAGCTCAACTTTTTTCAACGACCAACCGCGACCAGAGCCGGTAAAACAGCTC